GTCCATTCTACTGCCAGGTAACCCCCTGTCCCCTGTATAGTCCATTCTACTGCTAGGTAACCCCCTGTCCCCTGTATAGTCCATTCTACTGCCAGGTAACCCCCTGTCCCCTGTATAGTCCATTCTAGCTGTTCCTCAGGTAACCTATTGGAACTCTTCTTCAGCATAATATTTTAAACCATATCTGAAAGTGAAGAAGTGGGAAAATAAAGGTAGGTCACAGATATCATTCAAAATCCATGAAGAACTGGTGCAATGACCTTGGCAGGTAGCCCTGGAATCTCAGTCTCACTGACCTCCAACACAGACTGTTTGCCTTTGTAATAGCTTACCCTCAAGGCCAGAGAATCTCACCATGTCTGTAGGTCAGAAATCCAGAACAGGCTTGCTGGAATGTGTGACATTCAGGGCTTTCAATGTGGTGCAGGCAAAGTGCTGAGATAGGATTACCCAGCTGAGGGGGGCTCCTTGAGGTGGTGGTGGTGAGTCCTTCTCCACGGGAGCCAGGTGTCCTGCTTGAGGTACCAGGAACAGCAGGGCGAGATTAAGCCTTTAACTGCCCACTCAAAGTATGTGCTTTAAAGGCCCCTCTTTCAGTGGATGGCCCAACACACACATCTTGCTCATACCTGTACAATATGTTTCTATAATGGAAGGAAACAACGGATTCACTGCAGCCTCACTCCCTGTTATAGGCTACCAGAACACAAGTGGGGTGGGGCTGAGGTCTCAGTGCCTGCCCCATATTCCTTTCATCTGTATCTTTTGTAGTAGCTTTTTATAATGAATTAATAAGTAGACGTAAATCTCTTACTGAGTCATGTGACTCGTTATTCAATTCTATATGAGACCCGAGGAAGAGGCTGTGGGAAACTTGATATATGGCCATTGTTCAAAAATGTGGATGAAGGGGTTGGAAATTTGGATCAGCACTCGCTGCTTTTGCAGAGGATCTGGTTTGATTCCCAGCGCCCATAGAGTGACTCACAATCGTAACACTAGCTCCTAGGGGACCTGGCATCCTCTTCAGACCGCCTTTGGCACCCAACATGCCATGGCATATACATGATACATGAAATAGACATACTTATGTCCATAAAGTAAATCTATTTTTTCTTTTTCAACCTAGGACTCACAACGGGTGTTTGAAATGAAGATGGGCTTGTGGGACTAAGCCCATAGTCTATCAGGTAGACATTTTCCCTAGGTATAGTCAAAATTCAATTGGAGTTTATACAGTTAGTATCTGAAGAATTGGAGAATTGCTCACTGTGAATGGAACCCACCCCTCAAGTTAGTATCAGAAGTTGTTTTCCCTTTTGTATTACTTTGAAATACATATGTCACACACGTACGCAAAGAGACCGACAAGAAATGTCTCATAGACATAATGAGGCAATGTCTAACCAGACATCTGGGTACCCTGGAACTCAGCTGAGTTGACACATACACCTTCTTATCACCATGAGGAGCTTTCCCTGACTGACTCCCTCACTACCCAGCAGCTTATTTAACCTGTCAGGTTGAGTGCTAGTCAGACAGATTCTGTGTCCCTTTCCTCCCACCCTTGTGCTCTCAGTGTCAATGGCAAGGCGTAAAATAAATTTATGAATGAATGAACAGTGAGCCAAAGATGCTAATGTTGGGAAGACGGGTCTGAGATGAGGTGGGGCGTGTGGTAGCCGATGGCTAGGCTCACAGCTGTGGAGCTGTGACTGGATTTAGAGGGATGTAGTTTCATTTCTGACTGGGATGAGACTGAATCATCGACGTGAGAAATGAGGATTAGGTTTGGTGGCCACAGTCTTTGGAAGGAGAAAGAGGCATGAGGAATTGAAATCAGTCGTTCTGTTATTTCACGAATTGAACAAGGCAGCTCCTGTAATTCTAGCCAGCACCCCAAACAAGGAAAAATCAAATCACCATCAAGGTCATAAGATCATAAGACACAATTTTAACTGAATCAGGAATGGGTCTTCTCCAGAATTCAGACTCTGTCTGAGAATACATCTATTTGTCTAGGACAATTCTCTCAAAGTTTATTTTGATATCTCTCTTTCCTTCCTTCTTTCTTTCTTTCTTTCTTTCTTTTTTTTTCTTTTTTTTTTTTGGTTTTTTGAGACAGGGTTTCTCTGTATAGTCCTGGCTGTCCTGGAACTCACTCTGTAGACCAGGCTGGCCTCAGACTCAGAAATCTGCCTGTCTCTGCCTCCCGAGTGCTGGGATTATAGGTGTGCACCACTACCACCCGGCTTGATATCTCTTAATAATTCTGAATACTAGGATTTTGTGGTAAGCCATAGCATTTGTTGAAAAACAATAAACCCAAAGCCCATTTTATACTGCATTCACCCACGGATGTATTCCTGTGATGTAAATATGAAATGTCTCCCATAGGCTTCTGTGTTTAATAGTTCTCAGCTGGTGATAGGTACCATTTTTGGGAGATTACTGAAGCTTTAGGAGAAGGGGGCCTTACTGGGTGCAATCTTGAAGTCTACATCTGGTTTGCTTCCCCACTCTGCCCTGTCCATCATGAGGTGAACAAGTTTCTTCACCACACACTCCTGCAGAGATGATAGTCTGTCAGGAAGTGTGGGCCACGCAACCATGAAACAGACCCCCTAAAGCTGTGAGCCAAGAGAAGTTGTCCTTTTGTTAAGTCACTTCTATCAGATAGTCAGTCACAGCCACGCTAATGTGACCTCCATAAATGCCTGGGCTGTGGGAGGGGCTCAAGGCCCAGCAGCAAATAAGACACAGGATATCTGTCCTTTCCTAAGTGTATTTTGGAGATTCTCTTACACATTTTCATTGCTTATTTGCTTTTTTTGTTTATTGCAGCGCCACGGATCAACACCAGGAAAGCACTGTACTACAGAGCTACAGTCCCATTCCTAACTTTACTTTGGATTTTAAGACAGAATCCCATTAAATTCCCCAGGCTGGCTTTGAACTCCTTCTGTAGACCAAACTGACTTTGAAAATTTCATTTCTCTGCCTTAGATTCCTAAGCAGCTATGTCAATAGGCCTACACCCTTAGTCCTGGCTAGCCCTTTAAAGACCAAAACATTCTTTCTGAAAGAGTCCTATGACATATGTAATTATTTATCCACAGTCTAGTCTCCTGTTGGGAAGCTGATTGATTTTTTAAAAAATAAACACGAATGTTTTGAATAAAACTAGTGGAAGGGCATCTAATGTTATGAATCTCCAGAGTCTCAGCTTTTAAGTTCTTGGACAACACATCCACAGGCTGTTAGTATGGTGGCCACAGACAACATTATGAAGATGTCATCTGAGGACTCACTCCCAGATTGGTATTTGAAAACCCAGCTTCCAAGGTCATAGGATTAACCTTTAAAAAGCCTTAAATTATGGACACTTCACTTTGCAATTGAGATTAATGCCCTGATAAAGGAGGCTCCAGAGGGCCAGTGAACATCCTGTGCCATGTGATGTTTGAGGTTCTCTGAGGAAGCAGACTCTCACCACTCTGAATGTGCAGAGCTTTGATCTTGAATTTTCCAGCTTCCAGATAGCTAAAAAATAAACTTCTTTTGCCTGTAAGAAACCATGTTACAGCATCCCATGCATTCTTTTACAGTGTGCCCTCTCCTCTGCGTTTGTATGCATGCTATATTTAGAATATTAAGGTAGGCCATTTTATGCATGTTTTCCTAGATGCTCGGCACACTCAATTGCATTTAATCAGACTTTCCTCTAGTTGGAAAATCTTCTGAAAAGCCTCCTTTGGGAAATAGTGTTCTTTTGCCCTCTCATCCATGAGCTCTGCCTTCCTACATAGACCTCAGATTGATAGAGAAAGTCAGCTTGCTCCTCCAGAATGCGGACTGGGGTCCAGGTGAATAAGCTAATTGTAATAGGATGTAAAAGAGACAGTTGCTGGGGAAGATCAAGGGTCTGGGTCTAATAATTTATGTTACTACGTGGCTGCAGGGCAGATCACTACTCACTGCCAGCCAGCGGTAAGGCATGGTTTTCTACAGCATTGTTAAACGTACTTCTGCGGTCCTATCTTCAGAGAAGGAGGAAACAGAGTTGAGTAGATGTGGGTGTAAAAAAAAAAAAAAAAGCTTAGGTCAGATCGAAGGAGATGCTATTAGAAAGAAAGTAGACAAGTATGAGATACAGAGATACATGAGTCTTAAAGGAACGCTGGGAAGGGGCAGGGAAATGGGTGCATCGAAGTCATAACAGTATTTGAAGAGTCAAGTGGGAGGATCCCTTAGTGTAGGAAACAAAACAAAAACCAAAGTAGTCTAGGAAAAGGTGCTGGAATCTCTGAGGCTATGAGAGTGGCTAGGTCCCTGGAGAAGGGATTCCACAGAGCGCATGAACAGGAAAAGTAATGGGGCAAGGATACACTCTGGGAAAGGTGGCAGGCTTCCCTCCTCCGCGACGGCTTTGTCTACTTTTCCAGAAAACCATCAATCTACCTAGTCAGGGCCAGACTAAGCATGTGGCACGGCACCTCCCTCCCCCCCTAAACTCCCAACCCCCGGTTGGCTTCTTCTGGCTCAAAGACCTGGTCCTGACGCTGCCTTCTAGAACATCCGCGCCCTTTTGCAGCGTCAGTAAGCCTCGCGGGGGCCTCCACCTTAGTCACCTTGCACCTGGGGTCTTTCAAGTTACAGGCTGAGTTTGGAAATGAAACTGTTTCCTTCCGCTCTGAGGCTTTGACACAGCCAGGCACTCTACATAAAAGGGCTGTCCATCCGCTACACGGACATCCAGAAGCAAACACTAGCGCAAAACACTTGGAAAGTAATCTGGACAAGACCCTTACTACCCCCATGCTTAGCGTGCGGTGCAAGACGTTGTGAGCTGTCGCTGTGACAGTCCCCAGCTGCCCAGGCACACCCAGACCCCTGGGCCTGCAGCGCCTCCAGCACAGCGGAGAGCAGGCGTGGAACAGCCGCGCCCCACGCAGGCGCAGGAGCTTGGAGACTAGGACGTGGCACGGCGTGGCCTGATAGGGGGCGTGGTTGGGCTGGGATTTAAGTTAGGGAGGTGGCGGTGGTAGGGGCGTGGCCTTGTGTGAGGACCCAGTCCCGCAAGGAAAGTGTGGTAGCCAGGGGTGTAGCGGGTGTCTGGGACAAGGCGGGGCTTAATAGTGCAGCGTCGCTGGGGGCGGGGCCCTGGTGGGTGTGTGAGCTTGGCAGGGGCGTGGCGTGGCGGGGCCAGGTCGCGCTGGGCTGGGTTGGTCAGGGCGTTTCCGTTGCACGGAGCTGCGGAGAGCACTGCCCTGTCTCTCGGAGTGTGCATCTGTCCTGTTCTCACCCGCAGCCTGCGCTCTCCCGTCTGGTGAGTAGCCGTAGTCCCGGGAGCGACTCCTCTACGGAAGGCGCAGGGCCCTTTTGGGGTCGGGGGATCAGAGCTCCAGTGACCGTCTCTCTCTCTCTTTTTTTTCCCTGTCCTTGCAGCCCCAGCCCACTCCTAACTGAAGGCATCATGGTAAGTAAGCGGTGTGCCCGCGACCAGGGTGATCGGGACCCTCTCTGAAGGCAGCTGCCTTCGGAGTCTCTTGGTCTTCGACTTTCCATCTTTGTCCTGCTCTGTGTCCTCTCCGTGACCTCTTGGGTGTCCCACTCCGTGTGCGCTGTCCTGTTTCCTCCTTCGCCCCGGAGTGTCTGGAACCAGCCGGTGTTTCTCCCCGGTGCATGTGAATCGGGCCGCCCCAAATCCAGAGTTGCCAAAATTAGATCTGGAGCAGGAACCGTTCTCTTGGTCATGTGAGGAGAACGCCCTTTTGGCTTCCCTTATTTTTTTATTTTTCCCGCAGTTTCCTGTGTTTGAATACTGGGTGTGCGTGGGCGATTTCCATGGTGCTTCAGGGGAGCTTTTTCCAGCGCTAGGCGCAATTTATTTAAAAGGAAGCGATTGTGGTTTTTCTTTCTTTTTTTCTGTTAAAGGCACTAAACCAAAAAGCTGGGTTTCCAAAGTAATGAACTCACAAAACGAGTTCTGCATTGAATTTTGCCTTGGGACTCTTTCAGAAGTTGATTACATAATAGGTTTTTGTTGTTGTTATTGTTTTAAAAGATCTCCTAATATTTGTCAAGAGTGTAGCAAAGAAAAGTTAGTTTTTGTTTTGTTTTCCAAGTCAGGGTTCCTCTGTGTTGCCTTGGTTGTCCTCGAACTCACACACTGCCTCTGCTGAGTGCCGGAACTAAAGGCCTTTGCTACCACCGCCCAGCTTACGTAGTAAATTTTCAAAGTTGGTCATGTGAATAAGTTATCATACCTAAAATATTCCTCCCTTAGGCAGGGTAGTTATACATGGAGTCCCATGTCTTGGGAGATAGATACAGGAGGATTGGGAGTTAAAGGTCACCTTTGGTCTTCAGGCCCTTGGCTTTAACAGACTGTCTCAACAAACAAAGCAACAAAGCTTTTCACCCCAACGAAACTAATTTCACACATCTTGCCGATCTAACTGGACTGTTCAGAGTCTGGACAATCTTTTAAATTAGTGTTTCAGCCTACTCAGTGTGCCTGAACACACACACACACACACAAAATCCCCCTCCCCCTCCCTCCTTTCCCATTTCCCTTTCTCCCTTTCCCCTCCCCTCCTTCTCTCCCTTCTTTTCTCACCAGTCCACTAGTCAGGTTGCTTTAGTACCATTGGATAAAATTTCATGGCTCTTCCCAAGAGTCAGTGGAGGGATTAAGATGATTTGGTAACGCTAGCTATTAAGTTTATACAGTGTACAGTGTTGCCATTCTTCTGGGTTTGCACATAAGTAGTTCTCTCATATTACCTCAAGGGGACATTGATTGGGTTTAGGTTCTTCAGCAATACAGTGCATTTTTTTGTGGGATTAGCCTTACTCCTCTGAGGAGTAAGTTCATATGTTGGTGCGGTGAGAGACATGGTGCTTAGCAAGCCTCACAGAATAGTCCCCTCCATGCTTGCCCGTTTGACTTACTCTATCTTGTAAATTTCCCAGGGTTGTCTCCAGTGTTTTGGTTTTGACATGGTTGGGATGTGAAGCCCAGGCTGGTTTGGAAGGGCAGGCTTCCTTTTTCTCTGAGATCTTCTTGCCTCAGCCTCCTGCGTGTGGAGATGACAAATGTGTGCCTCTGCAGCCAGCTTGCAGTTTCACAGCCAGTTATTTCCCATTGTATCCACTCTATCCAAGATAGTACTGGAGACACTGTAGCATGCTGAGCTTTTCTGCAGCGTTGTTAGTAATCTTTGGAAAGCACAAAAGTAAACCATTTCATTAAAATACCTCAGATTAGGATAGTGTTTTGTGTCTTGCATTTGGTGATGCAGAATGTCCTTCTACATTTTATAAGTTCTATCACTCCCTCTCCCTGGTGGTTTTGGGGACCAGGTCTCAAAGAGCTCAGTCTGACTTTGAACTCACTAAGTAGCTGAGGGTAACTTTGAACTTTGCTCCTCTTGCCTCTCCCTCCCAAGTGTTGGGATTACAGATGTGTACTCCCAAGTCTGGCTATAACGGCCTTTTGCTGTCTAAAGCCTCCTTTGGATTCTTGTGGCATCTAAGAAAGCTGGAGCTTTGTGTTAGGTTTCACAGAGTTTCTTTTGTTGACCCAAGGAAATAGGAACCAGAGACTTCCATTCCATGACATGTGGAGATGAATGGTATCAGATTTCTCTCTCAGAGGTGTGTGCTTCAGTAATTAAAAATGCATTGTCTAAATATGAATGTCTCTTGCTTATTGAAATAGTTTCCCACTACAGCAATTCTTCATATTTATGAACTTTGATTATGTATCTATGTTAATAATTTACTCTTATTTGTTGTAACTGTACCATTTATACAAGTACAAAAATACAGAGGCAGATGTTTAGACAGAACGTGAGTATGACTGTCTTGCTAAGACTTTAACTAGAAAGAATTGGTTGAGCTAGGTGGTAGCACACTCCTTTATGTCCAGCACTCAGGAGACAGAGGCAGGTGAATCTCTGTGAATTTGAGGCCAGCCTGGACTACAGAGCAAGTTCCAGGACAGCCAGGGCTACACCACAGAGAAACCAGGTCTTGAAAAAACAAAAGACCTAGTTCAGTCCCATGGATGCTTTATGCTTTCTGAGTGGTTCAGTCTCTGTGCACCCACATGGACCCAGGTTAGCTGATTCTGTGGGTTTTCTCGTAGTGTCCCTGACCTACAATCTTTCCTCCCCTTCTTCTGCAAGATCCCCAAGTTCTACCTAGTTCCACAGGATTCCCCAGTTTCCATCAGTTGCTAGGTGAAGCCTCTCGGAGGACAGTCATGCTAGGCTCCTGTCTGCAGGTACAGCAGAGTATCATTAATAGTGTCAGGGCTTGGCTGTCTCTCATGGAATGGATTTCAAGCTGGGCCAGTTACTGGTTGGCCATTTCCTCAAATAGTCTGCTCCATCTTTACCCCTGCACATCTTGTAGGCAGGGCAAATTGTATGCTGAAGGTTTCGTGGCTGGATGGGTGTCCCAATCCCTCCTTTGGAAGTTTTGCCTGGTTACAGGAGATAGTTCAGGCCCCATAGTCCCCATTGCTAGGAGTCTTAGCTAGGGTCACCCTCATAGATTTCTGGGGGTTTCCACAGATCTAGGTTTCTAGCCTGTCTCAGAGATCCCCCAACACCACCCCCAAGCCATCTGCATATATATAACAGCTGTGTAGTTAGGTCTTCATGTGGGACTCTTAACTGTAGGAGCAGGGGCTGTCTCTGACTCTTATAGACTGCCTTTGGGACCCTTTTCCCTTACTGGGATGCCAGGTAATAGGAGAAGATGTGCCTAGTCTTACGGCAACTTGATATGCTGAGGCTGGTGGGTAACCATGGGAGGCCTGCCCTTTTCTGAAGAGAAAGGGAGGAGGAGCAGGCGGGCAGAAGAGGGTAGGAAAACTGTGGTTGGGATGTTAAATAAATAAATAAGTAAATCACAAGAAAGGAAAAATACCCAACAAAAGAAAAAAAAGTAGATACCTTGGACCCTCAGAGATATAGAGGTAGAGATGACAAATACATGTTTTTCAGTTACATAATTTTTATGATTAAATTTCTTTCACAATTTCGTGAATGCAGGTAATACACTCTGATTACTCTTACTCCGCTTTTAATATCCCCCTCCCACCCTCCACCCCTGCCTCCCGGCTGCAGGTCCCTTCCCCACATTCACGTCTCTTTGTGTCTTTTTTGTGACCCATCAAGTTAAACTAGGGCTCTCTGTGTGGTCATGACTGTAACAACTCAATGCAGCCTGGTTGGCTTACCAGTGTATTTTCTTTTCAATAAAAATTTTCGCCCAATCCTGCCAGAGTAGGGAATAACACTGTGGCAAAGAATCATACTGAGAGCCATGTGACTTCATATTATCACGTTTGCCAAAATATACAGAACCATAAGAACCCATAGATTAACACTGTGAGATCTGATCGTTTTTCAGTCCTAATCCTGGTCCAGCCGTGGCTGTCCTGGAACTCACTCTGTAGACAGGCTGGCCTCGAACTCAGAAATCCACCTGCCTCTGCCTCCCAAGTGCTGGGATTAAAGGCGTGCGCCACCACTGCCCAGCTAAAGAAAATATTTTAACGATAGCTTTCTCAGTCTTTGTCAAATAAAACATAGTGGTTAACTATATTTTCTCTGATATCAAAGAAAAGTTTAAATTATAGTTTAAACTTTTACATACCTATAAACAGTTAGTAGGCAGTAGCTATTTTTAAATGTATGCTTGAAAATATTAATTTGAATGAGTTACGTGATTTTAAATCCTAATACCCCTGCTATTTTAGCATAACAATGCATCTATGTAGCAAATTACTATGATTATTGGATTAGTACATTTTCTATTATAGTAAATTTGAGTGCAAACTAATTCAGCTTACGTATTAAACATTAACAAAGCTGTTAAAGATGCCTGAATTATCTCTATATAGTAAAGTATGCACGAATCATTTTATATTTTTTCTATATCCAACTTCTTTTCCTTATATCCAACTTCTTATATAAATGTAATTTTTTTCTTTACATCTTAGTAATATTTCTTCAGTTAGACTTACTGTATTTTGGGTTAGATTTTAAAAATTGAGTTCTGAAGCTTTTTTTTTAAATTTCTTAGGTGTTATGCAGTTATCTTAGTTAGGGTTACTATTGCTGTGATGAAACACTGTGACCAAAAGCATTCTGGGGGTGGGGTTTTTCACTCACATTTCCATGTCATAGTTTGTCATCAGAAGCAGTGAGGACAGGAACTCAAGCAGGGTAGGAACCTGAAGGCAGGAGCTGATGCAGAGGCCATGGAGAGGTGCTGTGCACTGGCTTCCTTGTTCTCCATGGCTTACTTCCTGGACTGGCTGGTTCTGTGTCAACTTGACACAAGCTGCAGTTGTCACAGAGAAAGGAGCTTCAGTTGAGGAAATGCCTCCGTGAGATCCAACTGTAAGACATTTTCTCAATTAGTGATCAAGTGGGGAGGGTCCATTGTGGGTGGTGC